AGGCGTGATTGTTAGAGATTATATTACTATACTCGTGTACGCTTAGTATAGTTTGCTTACGTGACAAATTTATGGGAACATATCATTAAATACTGTCTGTAGTTAACACGAGTAGAACACACAGAAATAAAACACTTTAACGGTTTAAAATGAGATATATATTAGTTAAACTAATTTGAAAATTATTATTAAACGTCCCAAACGAATAACAAACCGATTCTTATTTTAAATTAAAGCCTTTAACCGTTATTTTATAAAATAATCATGATTTAAGATTCAGTAAACACCGTTCGTTATTAACAAAATACTTGTCGTATTTTTCGCGTCACGTTGTTCGGCTTTAGCTAAGCATAAAATATTGTTCAGAAAATAGAACAAGAGAGAACATTATAAGTGAACATTCGAGGAAAACTCGCTTTATGACCCGACTGTACTACGAAGCCTGATCCTTTGGTAATGGAATGAGAAGAATAATTGTTATATTTATAAAGCCCTTTTTCATTTTTAACATCAACAATATTAAATTGTTATAAAGTGAAATATTTATATGCAGCTGTCATCGACTTCGTCCACGAAAATCGCTATTTTGGCCATCCAAATTCGTTTTTGCAAAGTCTTTTATCATCTCGATAAATGCTTTATAAATTCCTGAGATTAGCGCGTTCAAAGAAACAAACTCTTCAGCTTTATATATTAGTATAGATTATAGATATTATATCTCTGATGAAGGCGTTACATTAAACATAGACAGCATCTTATAAAGCTATTCGTAACAAAATGTATTCCGTTTCTCTTATTACATTATCATATCAAAGGATTATCAAATCTTCAAGTGTATATGAACATTTGAATTACGCTAGGTGCGGGCGAACCCCACACAATTAGACAATGATAAATGATTCGGGAAAAATCTCATCTAAATATTTAATCGAAAATTCCCCCACACTAGTGCAGAATGCGTTTCGACAATTGTGGGGTTCTAGTTCTGCAGGCCAACTAACGTATGCGACTTAGTTAAATTAAGGTATAAATAAAAATACTTATTTACAATGATTAAGAATTATTGTTTTTATTAAAACTTTTATTTTTTCCGCAACGTTACGTAACGCGATACAGCACAAGTCTCTCTAAAGCTCTCTGTTTACGTTCTATTACTATTATATAGTCTTTCATGCCGCAACATTACGTAACGCACGTGTCTTTACGCATCATTTTAAAGCATACGTCCTATTACTATTTCGTAGTTTCAAACTCTTAGCGTTTAATTAATGTAGGTTATCATCTTCGTCGGATTATCCGAAATACACAAGTTGTTACGATTGATTGAACTTTGTCTCTTCAAACATTCTTTTGAAAATGTGCCCCCGTCTCCTCCTGGCTAAAGCTTACCATTTAGTAGTGTAGGAAATATCTGCCTTAACTTGGAACAAATTGTTTCTTCAGACACGACATAGAAGTCTAAATAATTGCCTATAAATAAATTGAAGCATTAAAACAGACACAGATACGTGTCCCTTGCCCCACAAAAGATGGCCTATACTTATCAGCGGTACACATTTAAATAAAACACTTTAACGGTTTAAAACGCGATATATTAGAAAGTTAAAAATCATTTTCAAATAAGTTTAACGAATAAATCGCGTTTTAAACCGTTAAAGTGTTTTATTTAAATGTGTACTACTCGCGTAAACTATAGACAGTATGTAAAGAGGTTTTAAGCTAGCCCTTAGTTTTACATGACGGTGCAAGTGCAAGAGAATATCGGAATGCAACACACCGCCGTGGGGTGGCACCCTTGTCCCAATGCAAATAATATTTCTTCCCGACAAAATATTGCACTGGTAATACCGCTAAAACGCTTCGGCCCATTGTGTATTCGGTTTTATTAGTTCCCTTTATTAGCCGCGAAAAGGGCATCAAATACTTCGACAATATAATCTACTAAAGCTTGCACTATTAATATTTTGATGTCATAGTAGAAACAAACATATTTATATGTCTGTTTCGTATTGATATTATTTACAGGCTTATTTATATACAACACTTTAACAGCTTAAAACACGAAATAAACTAGTTAAACTTTTTAACAATTATTGAGAGGTGCATGTATCAATAAGTTGAAAAAATTCGACGATGAGGTGTAGGACTCGGTAGCTCAATCGGTAGAGCAACAGCACGGAAAGCTGACGATGCCGGTTCAAGTCCTGCCCGAGTCGAAAATTTTTTCAATTTAATTTAGATTTTAAAATTATTTTTAATTAGGCCCGACGTTACAATTTCCAATTTGCAAACAAGTTTATGTAATATATTACTACTACCGTTAATGTTTTATTTAAACAATCCCGTAGAAATTGTTAAACTTGATTACAGATTATTTTTAACTACGGCCCGACGCTTCAATTTCGAATTCGTAAACAAGTTTAACAAATATATTTTGAGTTTGAAACCGTTAAAGTGTTTTATTTGAATTAAAAATTTATAATGAGTTTAAAAAATTTATGACTCGGGCAGGATTGTACCGGCGTCGTTAGTGTTCAGTGGCGTTGCTTTAACCAATTGACAATTGATTGTTAATTTGTATAGTGCGATCATGTGCAATATTATATGAAGATATTAAAGTTTTGAATTATTTAAATAAGCCTATAATCGTGTTATTTAAATATGTTATACTCGCGTAAACTACAAACATTTAACAATATATTTTACCGTATTACTAAAAAACGACTGAGGGAACCACTTCCATTTTTATAACGATGTGGGTTCAACTAAAACGATTTCTCTCCGGGACTTGGCCGTAATTCCGTATAATTTTCTAATTTCACTCCCAAACCATGGGGTTTATATAGCTTTTCGGTTTCCCTAATCTTAAATTGCACCTTAAACTTCGTCTTCCTGACCTATTTAGACAAATGCGATTCAAGTTCGGCTTTCCCTGTCCTTTTCAAACTATTTATGAAAGAAAGAGAGAGACTTGAAGGAAAATTCTGGGAAAATTGCACATTTCGTAATAGAGGGTCTATTCACATAATCTTATTAGAATTGAATACTTTAATACATGGTACTATTACTAATAAATATAAAAACGCGTTGTATAGTAAAAATAATATAGTTTAGTTTAGTTTAGCCTATTTTGGCTTCGGAAATTCGGAAATCCACAGACTGAAACTGAAACGCGAGTAAACTTGACAGCTTTTTCATCAATGGTACAACTGGACGGATTTAGATATTTCTACCACCTATTTAATACCCAGATTTCCAGACAACATCCAATATCAGATAAATTATAAATAATGTAGAAAATTGTTGAAGCTGGTGGGGATCGAATCCACGACCCGTTGATTATTATTCATACATTGCTACCATTACACCAACAAGCCAAAATAAAAACTGAATTATATAATATAAAAATCGAAGATAAATTGAAAAAAATTTCGACTCGGGCAGGACTTCAACCGGCATCGTCAGCATTCCGTGCTGTTGCTCTACCAACACAATCGACTCGGTAGCTCAATTGGTAGAGCAACAGCATATATGGTGCCTTCGTGTACAATAACATGTAAACAATATTAATGTTTTCAAACTGAATTATAGTTAATTGACAAAACTTTAAAAAAAACAAAGCTATCACTACATAGTATAAAACAAAGTTGCTTTTTCTGTTCCTATGTACACTTAAATCTTTGAAACTACGAAACAGACTTTAATGCGTTTTTTTTTTAATAGATAGTAATTCAAGAGTTCACCTTTACAGTTTTTCTGTAATGTACTTAGTATCAGCATTGCACCCGAGCGACGCCGGAGCGGGTCGCTAGTATAAGATAAAACTCAATGTGCCCCCAAAATGAGAAGCTACAGTTTCAAGAAAACTGGATTTCGGAGGGTTATTTGAGAATAGGTCGCGTGGCGCCCTTAAATCACTTAAGTAGAACGGGACCCGGTCTATGGCTGTTAAACTTTCTGTTTTTGCTCAGCTGGGACTGCGGAGTACAAAGAGAATTTAAGATTAGAAGCGATGACGATCGAGAAAGCATTTAAATACACTAAATAAATCATTTTTTTTGTAAGGACGGAATAAACATTTAACAAATAATAGTCATTACGTCATCTTTTAGGAGCATGATGTTTGACAATGTAATTTAGGTCAAAGACATTTATGTACTAAAGAAATAAATTGTCACTAAAGCGCAAACACAATTATGTTGATATAGATGACAATAATAATTGATTACAAATACTTCTCTACTCTACTCGAAATTTAAATACAAACATTTCTAATAATACACTAACACACAATTGGTTTCGAATTGGTCTCTTTCAAATATTAATACAAAAATTTAAATTACTAACACATTGTCATGTCACATTCTTACTAATGACCTAGGTTCTGTTTGCTATCTAAAGAGGATATGATAAGTATCACGTCTCCAGAACGTACACAGTAAGTGAATTCTCGAACTCGAACTTCTTTTAACTTTACAAAGCAACTTCATGCTGCTACTTTCTAGAAACGTGCTCTTTTATCAGTATCTAACTTTCAATTCAGTCGAACTCTTTCAAGTAGGTAAACAGAAGTTACAACGCTTTGGTAAACTCCAAACAGTCACAAATTATTAGCTACTGTTGTGACAAAATTATTTTGCGTCTAGTTTTCACCCTTCGTTGTTTGGGATTATTTATTGCTCTTATATTCAGATAATTGGGTTACCTACTAACTGTAGCGACACTCGAGAGCAATTTGTCAAAATCCCGACAAATTGGTCCACAATGAAAGTTTCTGTATGTGCTATCAAGTTATTTACAAAGAGAAGAGAATATTACGTGTATCGATTTTTTGTGTATTATCTTATATCGAAATTTGTTTAGAATGCCAATTCGTGTTAAGTGTTTAATAAATTTTGATAGCTTTTCTAATCTTGAATTCTTGATCATTGCTCCAATAGCCTATAGCAACATATATATTTAAATAATTGTTAATGAACTTCAAATGATGAAAGGAAATAATGACTAGTCCGAGACGAACAAAAAAGAGTGGTCAGTGCTTAACACAACTTGTTGACTGGGATTCTCCTTCAACCGAGACAGGAACAGTGAAAAGAAGGGCTTCGTGTCCTGAAAATACGTCTAAAGGATCGATCAACACACATGACACCATAATAGAATCAGAAACACCATCAGACTCGGGTAGTTCCAGTCTTAACGGAGAAAGGGCTGATTCTCTAATAGAAATTGAAGAAAGAATATCTTGCATAATTAATGAAAACCGAAGTTCACAGAGTAACTCTGAAAGTGATGTTGAGGTTATTATAAACAGTATTTTTGAAGAACCAATAAGAGAAGAATCAATAGATAGTGCAAATTGTACGACCAAATTTGACCGAAGTAAAACATTTATTAAGTCAAAAAATGACCGGAGCTCTTTAACGGTCTGTCAAGAGACGGTGAAGAAAGTCAAAGTTCTGAAAGCACCGACATCTATAAGAAAGTTAGGTATATCTTTAGATAAAGTGAAAAATTCTATATCCGCCAAAGACTCCATTAAAACAGAAAATACAGCAAATGTTTTTCCAGTATATAAAAGCAAGATTCCAAATAGCAATGTTAATGATGATAAGAGCAAGAAAAAAGTAAATTCAAAGTTAAAGCTACCCTTTTCACCGTCTAAAGTAATGGATAAGCCAAAGATAAATTATTTACACGATAGAACACAGGATAAAGATGTCAAGCCACAATCTTTGTTGGCAACTCCTGTAAGAAGAACGATATCAAACGAGTATGTTCGTTTGAAATTTACAAACGACACTGTTGTGCGTCGAACTATCGATGGAAAGTCCATACCAAAAATAACACCAAAAATTCAATCGATAATACCCGAGAGTCCTGTGGACAGCGAAGATCCTTTTCTCAATCTAAGTCCAAACAAAAAATATACAGTAACAGTTAATAATAAAGTGAGATGTGATAAAGATAATTATGTTATTTTCGATCCTACGACCGGTTTTAGTGCTCACGCAAAACAGTCGCGTATTCCTAGTGCAAAACTCAATAATGTGGACAAAACTAAAATTCCAGTAAAATCACCAATTACTGAGACTGCAACAAGTAATGTTAACAGAACCGCAAGTGCTAGTGATACGGATAGTGGTATTTTATCTCCGAACTCTGAAACTGACGCTAAGAATTCTACATATCATTATGTGAATGCTGCTGTTTTTAGCGAAACAGCAAAGAAACAACCAAGTGATTTAGACATAAGGATCGTCGATCCCGCTGTAGCGAAAAAGGCAACCGAACAGATAAAGGTAAGCTGTGTTTATAATCAATTATTATCTACTAGCTGTGCCCGCGACTTCGTTCGTGGAATAGTGAGTTGGGGTAGAAATTTTAATTATTTAGGCTGTTTATTAATTTATGTAATTGCATATTTATCGCAGCCACATCACTCCTACTCTAACTCGCACTCCCACTCTCACTCCCACACTGCTCCCACTCCTATTCCCAAAAAAACCCAAAGAAGAAAGTTTCATTGTTCTAGCATTAAAAACCACGAATTTCCATACTAACTTTCACCCACCTTTTTACCCCTTTTCGCTTCCCTTCAATGAAAAGTATTCTCAGTGTCTAAACCATCTGTGTGCCAAATTTCATTCAAATCCGTTCAGTAGTTTTGGCGTGAAAGAGTAACAGACAGACAGACAGAGTTACTTTCGCATTTATAATATTATATAGTAAGGATTAGCGTGATAAATTTGTACAAACTATAATACGATGATATCAGAGTTCTGTAGCAAACTCTCGCATTACACATGATGTGAAATAGAATATAGTTTACCTCTGTACGTAATATTATAATTACATATTATTATTTTAATAATTACTTTTTTATGTGTCCGGATGGTGAAAGTTATTACGTATAATTTGACTTGTAGCGACATCTACATCTAAGTAGCAAACAGGATTTAGTTTATTTTGTTTCAAGCTTAAGGGTTAAGAGAGATACAGATTAGAAGTTTTTAAATATTTTATTTCATACATCAATCAGAAAAACACAATACACAGTACATATTTGAACATTAGAAAAAACTCAGTTAACTTTGTAAATAACCTTAATGACATCTAATACAAAGCGGTTCCACTATTGCCCACTAGATGGCGTTATTCAATATCATACGTCTTATAAACATCCCTATGAGATAAAGTGTTATATCTACCTACATCAATTACTCTACACTGCCTCATTATTCGAAAGCAATCGTGCAGTTAATATCCAAATGGGTCCATTTAGTGAAAATAATGGATGCCAACCGCCCGTGTTATGTGATGCTATTGTAATGATGGTGTTTTATACGCTCGGGCAATTACTATTAGTGCTTGCAATCAACCAATGTTTAACGTGGTTTTACTAAACGGTAGTAAAAATGCGTAGTATTATGTTTAATTTGGGTTTTATATCACCTCCAATAGCCTAATGAGTTTTAGAAGAAATACTTGTTACCACTACATTCAAACGCTAATACTAGAAGTATAGTAATATTCATGAACTATTTAGACAACATTGTCTCTTTTGTGTAGAATTTATATACCTGAGTAACATTATTTCGTTTTTAAGAAATTATATTTAGTTAAGAAGAATTCAGTCTTTTGTTATTTAATGAAGGTTTATCGTGAGTCATAACACATACTTCGACCAGTGGGAATCTGATTCTTGATTACTGCATGTAGGGAATACTTGATTTGCAGATAACAATAAACCTATAGGGTGTGTATATTGTCTACGCATTATTGATTTCTATGAGAACGACGCTTCTATACAAATCACTAGAGTGCCTATTTCTGCACTCTATTTATATTACACGACAGGCATGTTATTTTCCTAAATATGCTTGGAAATTTGAGCATTATTTTGACAACCTTCATCGAGACAAATCGAACTTGCTGTACTGGTCGAGCTGCAATAGTTATTTGAAAATCCTCTATCCTATGTCGTATTTGCGAACAAATAAATTACTATTTAAAAAAGAGGTAACTTATCAATGGTTTAATTTAAATTTCGAACACGCTTGGACATCAGCTGTTTAGTAAAAAAAAAATTAGCACGTAATTGATATTAATTGTACTACTTAGTTTCAATTTCCGCGCATTATTTGATAAATCCTTAGATTTACGTATGTGTTTACGTTCGTCCATCTATACCTTTTACCAACCACTACAGTAATGCACTACTAATTAACGGGAACAAAGAAGAATAGAAATAAACTCTATCAAGGCGAACATAGAACATTCCAATTGAACATTTAGCATTGTTACACCGTTAACCACTTGTGGAAAGCTTCTTTAATAAGTGTAAGCGCTGAATACAAACACTTAGAATTCCGTGGACGAAGTCGGGCTCTCGAGGGCTCTTCGTGTAAATGAGAATGCTCTTTTATACTCTTCTCAAACTGTTTCACTTTGTTTTTAGCTTCTGTGAATGTCGGTACACTTTGAGACCTAACAGATTTCGTTTCATCTACAACTCTTTGAAAAGAGAATTTTCGTTTTTAATTAAAAGCAAGGTTTCTGATCAAGCAGAGCGTTGTAATTGCAAACTGATTTTTATTCGTTTCTTTAAGAGTCTCTCAAATTTAATCATCAATTTTCTTTTAATTAGTAGGTTGAACTCATTGATGCAAATGCGCGTGTAATGTACTTTTCACACAATAGACGTTAAGAGATAATTCATTTAAAAATCGATTGATTAAATTGAAAAATATTATGACACGGCCAGAACTTGAACTTGTTATCCAAAGCGTTCCGTGCTGTTACTCTTACCAATTGAGTTACTTACGCATGAACGTTGAATTTTCCAAACCTTTTCCGCGCCATGTTTCTCAATATACAAAAGATTTTTAAATAATATAGTGCCATCACTTCACTATATAGTATAAATCTTTAAAACTACGCAACAGATTTTGACGCGGGTTTTTTTAATATAGAGTGTGTGTTTAATACAGTGATTCAAGAGGAAGGTTTTTATATACAACGTTCAGTGTGTAGTGTATTTAGTATAAGCAGTGCGCCCGAGCAAAGCCGGGCCGGGTCGATTGTGATAAATAAAATATACGTTTTTAATAACGACACACAGGTACAGGAAGACAGCCTTTAACTCCCCACCGCTGGGACAAAGGTCTTCTAAGCGGTTATATAGAAATTCGTTATTTATATTATATTAAGCATAAAATATGTTATCATTTTTAATGTACCTAGTTTAAAAGAGTAAGTGATATTAAAATGAGGTACAAAAGTTTTGTCTTTTATATAGAGAATACGATTAACAGTAGTCGACTGTGACAGTAGACCACGGCTGCTGGAAAGCATTAAAATATCCAAGCTTATTAATATATAAAATTAATAAAACAAAATAAAATAAGCCTTTATTGATACTATACAGGTTGCTTAATTATATAGCGCATAGATACCGTTGAAGTGTTTTATTTCAATATTACAAAATTTAAAATTGCAAATGAACCGGTTTTTGTAAAAAGCATCTCGATTCTAAACAAAATCAAATAACGTTAAAAATAAAGATTATTTAGAAGCTGCGAGAAATTTAAATGCAACGAAAATAGAGGATTTCCTAGGAAAGTCGTTTTGAAGCGAAATCAAAGGGAGGCCGCAGGCGTCCTTCGTTGCTGTTCCGTTCACGTGCAGGACTGTAACCTAATTACTTGTAGACTTGTTGCCTTAAGACATGGAAATAATGCCTAGATCATTGAAATATCAGTTTGTATAGTTTGCTTTCTTAATCGTGACTTCCGGCCACGAGCGATATTCTTGATTCTTATCGCCCATTGTCTATATCATGACTTTACAGTTAAATTCATATTAAGTGTTAAAATCTAACATAATAATAATATGTCCCAAGTAACTTGCAATTTGTTTTTAATATTAAGGAATACATTACCTAACTTTTTCTCAAGCAGTGACTTTTAGTTAACTACTAAACTTATAAACTTAATAATTAATAAAATAAATTTTAGAAGGTTCAAAATACCACTCCTCCATTTGTTCCTCCGTGACCACTACTGCTGCAAAGCATCCGAAACGTCGGGCCGTAGTTAAAAATGATTTTCAAACAAGTTTAACTAGTATATATAACGCGTTTCAAACCGTTAAAATGTTTTATTTAAATGAGTACTATCCGTAGTTAAAGCGAGTAGTACACGTTCCCTATTAACGGTTTCAAACGCGAAATATATTAGTTAAATTTAGTAACATATCGAGAAAAGAGAGGACATCGTGTGGTAACGAGGAGAGAGAACCGTTAAAGTGTTTTATTTAAATGTGTACTACTCGCGTAAACTATAGACAGTATTTACAGATAGTACTTTGTTTTACATTATGTTAAAAGATAAAATACGTAGTTTTTTTGTACGAAATACACCAATAACAAATAATAACGTGGATTTTGTTTCCCTGTAATGTCTAAAATATTTATACGTCTGTAACATCATCAAACCTTCTTCCGGCCAAATCTTGGACCCCAAAGTGTCTATTTATCGACTGAGTGAGGGTGCATTCATTTGATTCTTATTTACCTTGTGGGGTCAATCTATCGTTATTCTTGTTAATCGAGGTTATTGCCGCTATGTCAATGAAAAAACTTTCTCGTAAAAGATGTTTTACCAAGCTTGGGTGAGTGAAACAACAGTTACGTGCGTTTATTTTAAAAATACTTATTACACATAAATTAAACAAACAATATTTACGATTCAACGGAGACAAAGTTAGTTACCTAATGAGTTATAGCCTAAGAGTTATTGAGGTACATTAATTATTAATAAAACTACTTGGAAGATATGGCTTATAAAATATAAGTGGGGGAGGTATTCATAAATCATTCGGGAACACGTAAATAAAATGTCACCCTCACCAACCCTTACCTGAAGAATGTACTCCGGAAGTCTAATAAAGTTTGACTTTGCGTCCTTAATAACGCTGGAGGGAATGTATGTTTGGGCTAAACAATATGAACAATTAAAGTTTGAAATCACTCTTCCCTGTGGGGTGTGGAGCAGACATATTTCTGTGTCTGTTTCTCTGATCACGTTTTTTTAAGAGACAAGTAGTTGATCAGACTACTTCATATTATTATGCTTTCCCAGGATTTATACATAACGCAAAGCTAAACACTAAAAATTTGTTTTTTAGAGAAGGACAGACAAACACGCGGTTTTCTTGATGGATGGTGAAATAGCCCAGCCATATTACACACATGCGCTGTCGACATATATACATCGCGTTTTAAACCGTTAAAGTGTTTTATTTAAATATTTATGATATACAGTACCAATTGAGCTACCGAGTCAATTGGTAGAGCAACAGCACGAAACGCTGACGATGCCGGTTCTAGTTCTGCCCGAGTCGAATTTTTTTTCAATTTATTTTCAATTTTTAAACGATTAAACTTCACAGTTTATATCTGTGAATGTACGTAATACGGTCGCGGTGTGTCATAGACATTTTAAATCGATTCGAAACGTATTGGTCCCGGGAATTGACCCAAGGATTGATTATTAGCCATATATTGCTACTATTAACCAACGAGCCTGTCGGTGTAGATTATGTCATTAAAGTTACTTTTGTCACTAGAAATATCCTTAGAATCAATAAAAGTGTAATTTACAGCCCGTAAAGAAAGCGTATAAGCTTTTCACATCCTGCACTAGTTTATTTTTGTTTAGATTAGTAGCACTAAATTATTTCCCTTTGTCTAATTTATGGCCGCCTCAAATGACAGTCACTTGTTTAATAGGCACCCGTTTATGTTTATTTCGTTTTGTGTAAGTATAGCTCACGACTACATCTGTATTCTTAATTATAAATGGGTGACAAACAATTTTGTTAATAGAATTTAAAATAGTTAAAGTTTCAGTTGCTACATATTGCATGAAGCATCCCGAGTTTGGATCCGAAGACGGGGCTTGTCGACTAACAATTAACGGGTCGTGGGTTTCTTATCAATTTATAATTTATCTGACACTTGTTGGAATCCGAATAGAAATCTGCTAATTAAATAGGTGGTAGAAATATCAAAGGAATGCGAACCATCATTCACAGATAAAAAATAACAAGTTCTATCGCGTTTCGGTATCAGTCTGTGGATTTCCGAATATCCAAAGCCAAAAGTCGATAGCACATCTTGTTTTAATGTTATATGGCTTGACTGTTTACCTTCAATACTATTAGAGAAATAATTAATTGTAAACAGTAGTTAACTGTCAATATGCATCACGGATTTTTAATTAGATGGAACAAACGTTCTACTTGTCATTGTAGCTACTGTAACATTTCGTTACTATTTTTATATACTTAATATTTTAAGTTAATCTATGTTATAATTGATAATTTCTCTAGGAATTTCCTGGTTCAGACATATAAGGCATTTAAAAAAGATTACTACATAATTAGTTTGAAAAAAAAAAATGTTATCATTAATTATTATTTTGAATTATTTTACGTGTTCGTCTCATGGATAAACTAAGGATCGATAAATCATATATTTACTTTAGTGCAGAATTGTACTGGAATTAAAATCCGTCAGGATTATAATTCAAATGTGAAAATAAATTCGTTTAGATCCCCTTCTGTCAGTGACGGTTGACAGGGGTGATAATTAGTATGACAGTACTATTCCGAGCGCAGGCGTCACTGCCCTAACTTGAACTAAAAATAGCTCAATCAGTCAAACGAAGTGTCTACGTAGGACGAAATCAAATGCAACGTGAGCCATTATTTCCTGATATGATGAAGGTATTTATAATAAATAAAAAACAATCGCGTTTTAAACCGTTTAAACTTATAAACAACACACAATACTGGGAAGGGATTAATCAAAATATGTGATTATAGTATAGAGTTTTAAATAAATAAAAAAAATATTTTGGATTGAAGATTTTAGAATTCAATGTCACAGACGGGACTTGAATCGGCATCCACAGCGATCTGTGCTCTAACCAATTGAGCTACGCGTCTCGCTCGTCCTTTAAAAATGCTTTAATTTATATATTTATTATTGCTTTATTATTTATAAAACACACCACAGAAAATACATATTGATGAGGAAAAATCTTATGTACTTACTTTTTATTAAGAATAAAATCCATCGTGTGCATTCTTGAGTACTGAATACTTCTAATAATATAATATTATCATACAAGTACCATCAATCAGGATTAAGACCGCACACAGCTAAATAATCATTGGTTTGATGTACCTGCTTCATATAACCGCCTTTGTAGCTCAATGGCTCAACGCGTTCCCTAGCACTATAATTATACATTGTTTCATTTAATTATATATATATCACGCATTATAAGGCGTTATATGAAAGGCCCTGAATTTGAATCTCGGGAAAGTGAGACCGTCAAAAATTAAGTTTGAAATATACCTTTAAATAAAACACTTTAACGGTTTTAAACGATAAATTAGTTAAACTTATTAAATCATTTTTAAATAAGTTTAACTAATATATCGCGTTTTAAACCGTTAAAGTGTTTTATTTAAATGTGAACTATAGACAGTATGAAATTTACCTTCAATGTTGAGAGTCGATAAAGTAAAATATCGTTGTATGGGGCCAGAAGAAGACATTTCAATGTCTGTTTCATTAATTGATTCTCAAGCCAAACTGTTTTCTTTGACTTTGCCTATATTTTGGCTTTGGATATTCGAAAATCGATGGACTGAAACTGAAATAGGTTTCTGAAAAATTTATAAATCACTGCGAAAAACATGTTGGACTTTTTGAGGCTCTCGTTGGTCTAATGGTATGTATGGTAGCAATGTATGGCGAATTATCAACACGTCGTGGCTTCGATCCCCACCGGCTCCAACATGTTTCTACACTTTCAGATGAAGCCCAACTTGTTTCGGAGAAATCATAAATATTTAAATAAAACACTTTAACGGTTTAAAACACGATATATTAGTTAAACTTATTTGAAATTGATTTTTAACTTCGGCCCGACGTTTCGGATGCTTTGCAGCAGCTTTGCAGTGTCTGGAGACAACCGTTAGTGTTTTATTTAAATGTGTACTACTTGCGTAAACTATAGACAGTATTAAATCATAAATAGAGTACAAACATGGCCTACTATGTTTCTAATCTATTTATGATTTTAATCGAATCCACGACCGACGATGTTGATTATCAGCCGAAGATTGCTACCATCAGCCTACCCGTCAAACGCCGCGCATTAATAAAGGGTACATTATGGCGTGTACCTTTATGAAACCGTAGTTGAATTTAACAATCCTTTGAAGCTCACAAGAAGCCTCTACAAAGCACCATAGTAAGCCGACTTGAAAAGCGCGTTGCCATCTTTCACACGCGATAAAATATGCATATCGTTTTTGAAACCGAGTTGGCGCGAACAAAGAGGGATTTTTATGAATTTGACAGGCCGTATTTACGTTATACCGGGTAAATAAGGCTTCGAGATGTGTAAATCTTTTGAAGTGTATATATTACATGAATATAATGCAATATAATAAAGCTGACAATTAATAGATGTGTTTGTTAGAGTTAGTATAATCGTTGTAATAATATAACGGCTTAACTTCTTTAAATGTCTAAATCTTTAATATTGGAGTGTGTATAGAAAATTAATAATCGCTAAAGGTTTTGTGAAAGAAAGTGACTGTCAACTGTCACTTTACTTATTTTTTCTCTACGAATCGATTGATGAGATTTCTTCAAGTATTGTTAGTAGTTTACTGCATAGGACACACTGATATAATACACTTTTAACGGTTTAAAACGCGAATTATATTATTTAGGAATTGTATAATTGTCGCGGGAATTGTAATTTAAGTAAGTGTCTCGTGTAGGTCTCATAAATAATATAATAGTATATAACAATAATAATTTACACGGCAAACATTTTCAAGTAAAATTGCGTAATGCTTTTGGTTTTCAATGACAAAGATCGAAGCTATCAATTATCGTTAACGGGGAGTGATTCGGTTATCCCAACCGAAAGTTAATTACTTTTACAGACGGCTCACAAAGTAATAAATAAGACCGAATATTTTGGTGTGCGTGTAATTTTTTTAGGGACACTCGCCTCAAATAGATTGCCTGTCGAGCTTTAGTTTCGAATACGTGAATCTTTTGAGTTATTCAATTTTTCTAAGGATATACATGTACAAAATACGCCATTTGAAAAATCTAGTACATCATTGTTTAACCATATTAGCATTTCCACATGTTATTAAGAGTCAAGTCAGTTGTTATTTGCGTTCGTTGTTCGTGCGCAGGATTACAATGGCTATTTTGACCGATTCTTATGATTTTATCAAGCAATTTGTCCATTCAAACGTTACAAGATATTCATAGATCTTCCTAGATAGTGTTTTTACTAGATACGTATTTATAGCATTTAATACTATCTATACTACAAACAATAGAATAAATAATAAACTTACATGAGTTAGTCATATTACCTTTTACTTCTACAACATTAATCAAAAATTATAATTAGATGAGAATTTCGCGGTTCTGCTGTTTACCTAACGTAAATTATGATTCTCGATGTTCGCCATCACAAGTGGATGCAGAGCGTTCTTCAAATAATCAAAAATATTATAAATATCTTTTAAAGTACAAATTAATAAAATTGATTGTTTAAATTTTACAAAACATGTGCTATGATATAGAAAAATAATAAAAACGAGACACGATAACTAGAGTAACAGCACGGAACGGTGTAGATGCCAGTTCAAGTGCCACTTATGTCATAATTTTTTTCCAATCTAAAATTCGATGTTAAAAAAGTACTAGTGAAAAAAAGGATGTCCGCTGTCTTAATTACAATAATTTATTCAAAAATGGAACAACGGTTAAGCGTTGTCACATCCAGTAAAGATGGGGAGTGCATCTGCATCCCCGCGGGAGTACAGGGCGGATCGATCCGCCCCATCGCAGTCGCGTGCTGTGCGTCCGACGTACGCCCGCCCGCCGCGAGAGCCTTCGAATTTAGGCGGGAAAACGAACGTTTTGTTTACAAACTGATATCCATCCTGGACGCGTCAGTGTATTAAATAATAAAAGTACTTGTGTTCTGTGATTATGAAGTAATGTGTCGAGTTTTGGAACTACATCTTCGACACCTGTGTGTGGTGATGTTTGGAATATCTAAATGATAAATAATACTATACTTAGAATTGATAGAAAACGAACATTGACAATTAACATTTGACATCTAAATTACATTGCGCTCGAGGTGCATGTATCAATAGGTTGAAAAAAAAATTCGACGATGAGGTGTAGGACTCGGTAGCTCAATTGGTAGAGCAACAGCACGGAACACTGACGATACCGGTTCAAGTCCTGCCGGAGTCGAAACTTTTTAAAATTATTTTAGATTTTTAAATTCACATCATGCAATCGAATCTTAACAGTATCGTATTTATATTCTTATAAATATTTAATAACTAATTGTTAAATATCGTAGCGCTATAGTTTAATACGTTTCCAAGCAAATAAGCAAGAGTCGTTCTAAGTTCGAATTCCGGGAAAAAAGTATTTTTTTTACGGTCTCACCACAAAACTCGGCGATTGCCTTGCATGTTATTACTTAGTTATCAATCAAATTGATTAGTAAAACAGACCTCAATATGTGCTGTTACATGCCGGGGTAGTAGCAAATTTATAGTTGCTTTGTCTCTTAACATAAATGTTATAAAACTTCTAGAAACTAATTGAAAAGATAAGAAAACTTTCGCCACGCAGTCGAAATTAAAGTGTCTGCACAAACTTCCGCCCTTGTTATTCAAAGCTCTCATTTGTTACGATATTAGTAAAGTTAATTTGGAAACAGCTAATTTCGTGAATAAATTGTGTTGAGGGGGAAATTGGTTTTGCGGTTTCAGTTCTGATACGTTTTGATATATACGATGGAGATATGAAATTTTCAGCCGGTGCGTGTAGGCTGAAAATTTCTGCCGTGCATTTTCAGTAACATAACGATTTTACGTTAGTGGTCTGTTGGGACTTTTAGACAAATAACAGAGATAGCTTTTAAATACTGAGTTAGGCATATTAGGCACATATGTTACATCAACGAGCTTGTAATATAAGCAAATGACTGTGTTTAAGTGAATTTAAGTAATCTATAGAACCATATCACAACATTTTAGTAATAATACAGGAAAATTAGATAATCTTTAAAAAACATAAGTTTCTTTCGAAGTGAAAGGGGAGATCTAAATAATTGACGAATCTTAAAGTAACTGTTACAAATTGACTTTGGAACTCCTCAAATCCGTATCAAATACGTCATTGTTTTTTGTAATGCTTTGTCGGACATACGAAACGAAAAACTAGCGCCAACACGAGCCTTATCATTGGCAACGTAAAAAAGCCTTTTTAGACAACCCACTTCTATACTGAACTTTTGATGATATTACATTTAAAAATAACATATTTAGTTTAGTTTATCTTCGTTCACATTCAGAGAAAATCTACAGGAGATTGATTTCCAGAATGCAAATTTGAAATTCGAAGCGGCATTTCGCCATCTTGTATCGGAATTCGATTTTCAAATTAATGTAAACCGTTTAAGCCAACATGCAGCTGTCAAGCGTGGCATTTCTCCATCAGGAGCATGTCAGTGGCGATTAAACCCCACGCCCGCTTCTCTCTGCTCCTGTGGTGCGTCCTTAATCCTTCACACGAAACACCCGCACTGTATCAAAGCATTTACGTGTTTAAGTAATTAATAAATTTTGCTTATTTGAAATATGACTCCAGGACTTAAAAGATGAGTGGCTTAAACATGGTTTAAAGAAATTTGTCTATTTACTTATTATACAATCAGTATTGAAAAAATAACAATACTGTCTATAGTTTACGCGAGTAGTACACATTTAAATAAAACACTTTAACGGTTTAAAACGCGATATATTAGTTAAACTTATTTGAAAATGATTTTTAACTTCGGCCCGACGTTTCGGATGCTTTGCAGCAGCCGTGGTCAAGGGGAGACTCACACACGAAACACACATGAGTTGAATTAAGCAGTATACCCTCACACATCAAGCTTTATATCAATAATCGAATATATGTTAATCAGTGTTAACGAAAGTCCATAAAATTAACAGACATACAACTACGAACGAGTAACAAGACAAACAAAATCAGGCTAATAATAAATTAACGATATAATAAGATTCTAGGAAGCCGTAGTCATTACAACCGGAATCCGGACGCGTTTGAAGACTGCTCACTTCCGGTGAAAAAGAAAACATATGATGTTTCCATTTTCTAACAATTTCCTTGAAACGCTAAATGATCTGAGTCTTTCAGGATCTGACTTTAAATTTTAAAATGGAACTCTTTGAAAAAGATTGAGAAATATAGATATTAGTATCATCTTCAAGGTTGCCTAGAACCAATCTCTTTTTAGCGATAAGGCCAACGTTTCTGGCTACATTACGTTATGAAATTTCATTAAATTTAATCTTATATTTGTAATATTCTTGTGGTGACAATTAAGTATTTTTTGTTTGTTTGTATAGATATTACTAAGTAAACATTGAACTTTCTTAGACTGAATATAGAGCGAATAAAATCTGGCTTACATTTTTAAAATAACTTCAGGTTATCAATAAACATATTTAAGTACTAAAGGAATCGTTATCATTTTTAATTATTTATTAAACTTTGCACTTTCCTAACTTACTTTTATAAAATAAAAATGCTGACAGAGATAAAGCACATCTTAATTTTAAATTTCTATTTCGTTTTATTAGTCATGTGTAATATGGGTAAAATAATGATTTCCCATTGCCCCACGCTTCGATAAATAGCTGCTTCTATGCCAGAACCATTAAGCTTAACTGCTACAATGAGCTTATCTCCGAATATTTTTCAATCTTCTCAATAGGTACAGGAATTAAATTGGAGCAGCGATCGGATAGAATGGTTTATCATATAAGAAATAACGTAAGCTTATTGAAAAGTTTGTTTATTTGTTTCATATATGTTTCACGAAATTATCTTACTGAGAACTGACGTTAAAAAAAAATATCTAAGTGTATATGTTTACTCTACATACTGCTGAGCTCAGGCTGAGTCTTGATGCCTTTTAGCACAAAGTTAAAATTGTACTTTTTTTTTGTATTCTTAAAAGATGGGCTTTGCAATTCGTTCTGTGATTAATTTTATACACCTTACAACAAACTAAACCAATTACCGTAATCCTTTTTTATAGTCGTTGACATACGAGAAGAGTTAGCCGGAGGAAAAAGAATATCTTAAACATTCTAAAAATAACTATACAATTTCATAATAATAATACATAAAAGTCAATTTGAACTATCATGTTTCAAGAGGATAATAATTCAAGACAGTTGTGACGTTTTTATGCAAAAAAATAACGGTTTTGCGATGATACATAGTGATGATGATGATGATGATGTGATGACTATGGTTCGCTGGGTGAACTAGCAGTTTAGTCTAAACACAAAAGCAATAAGCTTTTCTTAAGCTACAGCGTTCATAACTAAGTGTTTATAGTCATGAACTTCTAAGTTTACTATGTAGTTTCAAAGCGTCTTATAGCTAATTCTAAATAATTTGAGCTATGCAAAACTTGCGCATGGAGAATGAATATTAAATACCGCTTCTTGGGAGGTCTTAAGGTTTATGAACTGAATAGCGAAATTAGCTGAAAATGGAAACTTAAATTGTCTAATAAACCTAAGTTAAAATAATGTAGGATAAGTTTTAGCTTATGGATAATGTTATACATTTTTTAACTTGCTAAGTTACTGGTTATAATTGTGTCACAAGATGACACTAGGTTGTATATACCATATAATGTTTAAATAAGTACTGTCTGTAGTTTACGCGAGTAGTACACGTTTAAATTAAACATTTTAACGGTTTAAAACGCGAAATGTATTACTTAAGTTATTTACAATTAAAATACATTTTTTTCCATATATTTAATGCGAAAATGTTAGGGTTGAAATTACATGGCGCGATAGGTGCCTGTATCAATAAATTGAAAAATTCATTGTTAGAACAACAGCATGGAACGTTGTGGATGTCGGTTCAAGTCCTGCCCGAGTCGTATTTTTTTCAATTAATAATGGATTTTTGTTTGGCCCGACATTTTTGATGCTTTGCAGCAGACGTGGTTAAGAAATAAGTTTCGCTGATACATTTAAAGTTTTAAACCGTTAATAGTCTTTTATTTGGATAATTAATAGTTTTTAAACCGATATTTTGTTGCAAGTCTACAATTATTGCAAGACAGTGTACTCGTGAGTATCCATGTGCATAAATAACGTTATCTACTAATTCATGCGTATGCGATGGGGCATTACTGCAAATCAATGCATGATTAAAATGCAAATGGACGCCCTTTGCTGGACTTGTCAAGAGCGGGGCAATTACATTGGCAAACACAAAGTGCGGGATTTGGGAATTGAGATTGTGTAGGGTAGGGGCTAAGGTTGTTGCAGACTCAAAGCTTTTGTACAGTACAAATTATTTTTTTTATTGTATAGAAGATTTAATTACTTGGCCACTATGGCCAAAGTAGCTGGCAGCTAGTAACTGTAAGTTTATGACTAGACTCATATATATATTTTTAAAGTCTACAAATGTTAATCTACAGGAACACAGTTACTGAAAATTGTTACACAAATAATAGTACAAAATAATTTTCGCTTAAGTTAATTGCGTATTTGTATTTTCCTTCTTATTGAAATTCATTTTTCGATATTAGGCCACTCTGCCTCTAGCCTCGTATATCAATAATTCGACGTTTAGGGTGACTTACGGCACGCGTAGTCACGATAAGGTCAAGATTAATATGCGTTTAATGTAATATCTTCCAAGCAAGTTGTGCAGCTGACTTTGCCTGAAAATTGTTTATTGTGATTCCCCGAGATTCAAACTTAGGATTTGCCTCGCTTTACGTATAGCAAGGTAACGCGTTTAAATATTCATCTAATATCGTTCGATACAACATTACACCTAAGCTTAATAACATATTAGTTAGTTTTTAAATAATACTCAAAATATGTCTTCAAATATCGACCAGTTATGTCCATTGAGAAAGAAGTGATGTTTTACATTGGAGGAGAACGAAAGTAATTTTAGATAACATCAAACGAAATCCCATTATATTCATAGCTTTACCATTCAGTTTTTAAAGCATTCACCCTTTTAAAATCGATTTGTTGTCCTTAAAACTTGTACAATTCATAAAGGTATTTATTCCATTTTCAAAGGGATGACTTGTAAATCCAATTTGAGTTATGTTTATCCTCACCGAGTGAACAGATAATAACTCATATAGAATATATATGACAGTTATTTGGCTCATAAGGGTCGGGGTTCCTTACAGTATCTGGTTAAGATGCGACAGCTTAATTAAGGTTTCAACGTCAATTCTTGAGCTTGTTTTCACTTCGGGTTGCTGTAGATACATCTACTGACTAGCTACGATCGCGACTTCGTTCGCGTATAATAATAATTTTGGATATCAAAATTTATTTTTGGAAACCTCGTCTTTGTAGGTAAATTATAGCTTTACATTGCCATTTTTCACAGGTTATCTTAAAAGATAGACATACATATACTGTCGCGGACATTTTCGATCATTTAAAGAAGAATTACTTTATTACTTTTTGGTTTCGTAAATCCTTTTACAGCGCACATAACGGAAAACCTCAAAGATGAAAAAAAATTCCCGTTATTTTCACAATTTCCCACTGTTACTTCTCTCTTATTGAGCGCAGCGTGTGTATTTTATAGCCTTTTTTAAAGCCTTCCGATAAATGCTCTAACACAACAATATTTTCTTAAATTCGAAGTAATAGTTCCTCAGATTAGTGCGCGTTCAAACAAACAAACGTACGGATATACGTTATGAATAAAGACTTTTAACTACGCAATGTAATTGATGTTTAATTCGTAACCATAGCAACGTAACAATTCCGACATCTATCTTAAAAAACTCAGTTACAAATAATTTGTAAAATTTTGACATTTTCGTTTGCATTTAAATAAAACACTTTAACGAAATATTTCTAATGAATTTTAAAATTTTCTGATTCATTAGATCTTCGTCTGGAAATTAAATGATTGGTAGGCCAATCGAAACTCCGACTGGGACCGGAACAAGCGTTCTCAAATGAAAATCTATGATTTTTATTGCAGTCTGTGCATTTTCGAATCTAAGGAATCTAAGGTAGTTGGTAAGATGTTATAGGGCTGTCATATTCTACCTGCCATCAAGTGAACTCTATGCTGTATCACATAAACAATACAGCGTTATTAAGAATAAAAAAATAATCAAACCGATGGATTCCGTACACCAATTCCATGCAATCTATATTGAAAGTGACGTTAAAAGCGTATAATAGAAATAAACGAATCGCACAATCCCTATCCTGTATACTACAATATGAACGAAAATAAACATGCGGGTAGATTGTCAAGTTCGCGTTCGGATGGGGTGTTTGTCTATTTCTGAACTGTGGTTATAGCATTATTCTTTTTTCACGTCTACCAAACATACAAACTGGTTCGTTGAACTACGGTGACAGAGAAATATCCCGGGCCTAGAGGCGTACGCTCAATTGAATATAAATTATGTCGGGATAGGTGCAGGATTTACGTTTCTTAGATTTTGTCGAACTGTTTCGTCGAATGGTGCGTTCTAGCGTGAGTTAATAATGTTCTGTAAAATCTTAAACTTACGGTAGAATACACGCGATAGCTTGTTACAATGAAACGCGAAAAAGTAAGCAAAACGTTTAAGTATTGTCTGTAATTTACGCTTAGAAAGCTCAGGTTAAGTAGGCAAATTCAAAATAAATGAATAAATATTACTCGGGTTTTATACCGTTAAAAGTATTTCATTTAAACGATTATGTCAGATATTTTTTATTTAATTTAGTATATAAAAGTGGGCAATAATGATTACATAAAATAATTTTTAATTGTATATAAATATATAAGGTTTATACGTAAGGCTGTATGTGTATATATATATATCTATTTCTTCTAAATATATGTTTTGAATTATATCCCATATTTTTAAACGGCTTTGACGGGCTCGGTGGTGGTAGCAAACATTTTTAATAAATTTATAACACCTTGGGCTTCGTCTAGAAATGGATCATCTTAAAAGGGTAATATTTTAAACAAATAAATAATTTTAAACAATTTAATAACGAGATTCTTGATTACTTTCGTTGCTCGCGGTCAATTGTCGCAATGCCCTCAATGTCATCTCCAATTTGTCATGTCATCGAAATGTAATAAGTCCCCCTTCTCGGATTGGAAAGCTATTTACAAAGGAGAGGGAAGACTGGGGATAAGAAAAAGCAAACTCAACTGGGAATAGCGCGGATCGAGTGACATCTCCCCATATTACCTGAACTCTATTTCGGTTACAGATAATATTATATTGACCGTTGCTCTTGCATGTTTTATAGTCTGTCTTATATATTTTTTTATTTCAGCCAGTACTTCTTACGTTTATTACTATATCACTATAATGAAAGATAGGAAGAAATTCTAATAAATGACTTTGTTTAAATAAAACACTTACGGTTTAAAACGTAATATATTTAAAGTTAGTGTTTCATTTAAATGTGTACTACTCGCGTAAACTACAGACACTACTTAAGATGTCCTTGTGTTGTAAATAATTGGCTATACGGAATTCTTCTAAACGTAAAGAGGAACATAAAAAGATATATATATTTTTTTCATTTTTTTGTATTGAAAACATATCGTTTGAAAAGTTTATTCAGTACAAACTAAATTTGACTATTGTAAAGAATTAAAAATGTAATGTGGTAATAAAAATGTGTGTCTTAAACTGGTATTGATAATTTATTAAAAGTAACAATTAAATATGTTTTCAACGAAACTATATATTGCTATTGTCAAATAGATAAATATTAGGTACAAAATAAGCTATGATTATATTTTAATGAATATGAAAATAAGTATTGTTTAAATAAAGTACTTTTAATTACAACGTACAGGTGGCGCTAGCGTAGTAGATTTGACTTTGTTATTGTTACGACCGCTGCAAACCATCTGAAGAATAGGGTCGTATTTTAAAATAAATTAATAATACGTTAACTTATATATTTCGTGTTTAAAACCATTTTATTTAAATGTGTAATCAATAACAAATAGTACTATTGATACAGCATCAGTTAAACTATATTCGAAAACTGGCTTTCACAGACTTTGAATTGATCGGCTTTATTTAAATCGAAAAAGGGTCAAAGCCGATTTTATTGCCTGTTCCCTTACAGATAGAGTACTTTGTTCTCAGATGTATAGGGTTCATACAATTAGATTTACGTTACCGGTCGCCCCTAGTCACATCATTAGCCCATCATCATTGCCCACAGCTGGGAAAAGATTACTAGACTGATTAAATAGTGTAAAGAGATATAATTCTTTCGTGCACATTTCTTGAAACGTTTTCGTAGCGCATGCAAGGCGCCCGAGGCGGCTCGGCCCGTAGATAATATAAATAAAAACTAAGTTATTTAATATACTTCGCGGTTTTAAACCGTTGAAAGTGTTTTATTTAAAAGACCTGATCTTAGTCCACATCGCCGCTTAGCACGAGGCATGACCGAATACCTAATGAAACTTAAAAAAAATATAGTTGTATTCACCCGTATAAACTAACTTTAATATTTAAAAGGTTTACGCTTATTTCAGCGTTATTCGTTATGTTATCTGTGGGACTGAACAATTGTGTACGCTTTAAACTGCCAAATTCTCCGAAAATTTCGCTAGGAAAATGAACTTTAACACAATAGAATAAGTATTATGATATTTGTAAGGAGGGTGGCAATGTTTATTCACGCACAGCGATCGATCGGCGGAACCTCCGCGTGAAAATTGCAACTCGTCGCCAAAGGCTTTTCACGAACTTAATAGAATTACTGGAAATGATACGTGACGAGGGTACTTTTGAGCCGCTGCTAGGTATTTATACGTCTTTGATATTGTGTTATGAAAACGTTTCGTTCAAATTTAGTATTAGTAGCAAGTAAATATTATACGCATTATGCTTTTTATAGAATAGCAATGCAAAGACATAATAACAAATATGAAATAATTTAAACCCAGTTTTTTATGATAGAGGACCCCAGCTAAACTTAAAAAGATGTGCTATTTTGGCTTTAGATATTCGGTATTCGGAGTGTTATTTTATATTTAGCATGACATAAATGAAAAATATATTTCTAAATTCACTTCCATAGCGTTTCGTGTTGTTTCTCTAATGACTAATCTATTGAGCTACCAAGACCCTCTCAAGTACCTACTTGTCTTTTAGTAAAATTCGATCAGTGAAATATACAAATATATATCTGCCTAGCTAGCCACGGATTTACCACACAACGTCAGTTAGTAAATTAATGTCTTTATTTTAATGTTTATAATACATACATAAAATATACCCAAAAGAAAAAATTTACGTAATAAGGTATAAATAAAATGCAGCATTATCGCTTAGCAGCTATTTCTGACCTAATTTTAATTTCTTACTTTATTTTAATTTTAGACGTTACGTACATGTGTTAATTGTCAATGTTCGAGTCAAATGAATTTGTGAAATTAAAATACATGTACAGACGATGATAAAGAACAAACGAGCGTTGTGTAAACTCCCACACAAAGGTTAATTCAAGGAAATAACAAATGGTATGGCAAGAAAATACATGGAGCGAAAACTATCTAAATCTCATCGGAGCACCATACCCACGAGTTTCAAAGTGCCCGAGCCCTTTGAATTCTACAACAAAGCGACGCCTTTTGTGCAGCGTACACTTCTATTTGTCGCTGACGAAAACTCTGGCCCTAAAGCAGTTCATAATGCAAGTGAGAACGACACACAGGCACCGGAAGAACCCGGCACGTCCAAATCTCACGATGAGAAATCGCCCAAGAAGAGCTCATTTTTCTTCTCACCCTCGAAAAGTTGTAAGATTCATGGGCGCAGTTTTTTCCGGCTTCAGACGAGCCCAAAGAAGTCGAAAGCGGAGGCTTGTGATGTAGCCACTGGCAACCGCGGGGCGGGGGCTCCGGGGCCGGGGGGACTCATCAGCTACGCTCCCGGCTGGTCTCTGAAGGGGGAGCATCTTATGAAATGGCAGGAATCCGGGAAAACAACAATAGAGGTAAATCGAGTGCAATTTTTTTTTGTTAGTTATAATGGCTTCCATTAAAAATATAAAGATTGGTTTATCTTTATTTGAAACATTAGCTGAATGTTAATTTGCCATATAAAATATTTCGCCCATTTTCAAATTTGAAAATGGTTTAAGATACGCACGCTATGAAAACCTTCAAAGATGAATTATTATTCCTGTTTTTGCCACATTTCTCTTCACAGGTCTTAGCCCAATGTTTTATAGCCTTCTTCGATAAATGCTCCGATCAACACAACAATAATTTTTCAATTGGAACTAATATTTCCTGAGATTCAAAGAAACAAACTTTTGTTTTGAATTCTCTTTTTGTTATGTCGGGTACAACCATACCTATACTAGCTTTATCAATTTTACAATGAAATCTGCTCTATCAGGTATCCAATTGGGTCCCATATATTATTTGTATAGGGATCTTATACACTTGTAACCAAAAGGTAGACATTAATTGTGCATGCAAATCTATACTGAGGGGAAAACAGGGAGTACGGTGGCTTTAAGAAAATGAAAATTTCAATCTAACCCGTTATAGTGACGTATTTTTAGAGGTTTCAAAGTAGGTATATTTATCACTTCGCGTTTCATTTACGCTTATTTGAAATACTTTATCGTGTATTAAGTGAATGCTAAACAAAAGCAATACTTTCTTTGAAATAAAACACGTTATACGTTTTAAAATGCGAGATATATTAGTTACCGTATTTACAATTTATTTAACTATGGCCCCATTTTTCGCGTATTTGAAAGCAGACCTGTTCTCGGGGAGACGTTGTCAAAATAAATTGTAAATAAGTTAACTAATATATTTCGCGTTATTAAACCGTTAAATAGGTTTTATTTAAATATGTACACTAGGGTACACACACTTAACTACAAACAGTACAAGTTTAACTAAATTTGTACTCTTCTTGGCCGTTTATTTAGTCCAGGTTCTAAATTCAAATTTATGTTTGAGTTAAAAAAATCGACGATGAGCTCTATGAAGGACTAGGTAGCTCAACTGGTAGAGCAACAGCGCGCAACGCTGACGATGCCGGTTCAAGTCTTGCCCGAGTCGAAATTTATTTTTAAATTATGAATACTTCCGAGCGGGTAATCATAAAATTCGATTAGAGAAATATGTCTACTACCCCATGCCTTTTTGTCGTTGGGACGGTATTCCTTTGTTTTTAATACTTAAAACGTTGTATAGAGCAGACGAGAGCAGCTGGGCCGAATAAATTGCAAATCGTTTTACGGTTACAAGAAAATCTTTTCCGACGTTTTGCCCGCAATAATAATATCGAATTAGCCGTCTCGCCACCCTCCACTTTTCTTTCCACCTCACGATGCGGAAACACCGAGGTTATTTGACAATTTCAGTAGTTGCCTAGAGCAGCGAAAGCTCACTGATGAGGCTTTAGAAATAAAATGGAAAATCATAGGCGAATGGAATAGATAAAATTGTATGCTTTTTTACTTTTTTGTGATTTACAAACATGAGGTTTAATTAAAGGTAACAGGTAGGTAAGGTTCGCGTTAATGGAAGGTAAAATACCGCAACCATATCCGAACGATCCGGATTTTCAGACGAAACGATGTTTCAAAAAATTTATAAATCGAATTCAAACATGGTAAAACCGGTGGGGATCGAATACGTGACTAGATGATTTGTAACCGTACAACGCTATCAATAAAACAAAGAGCCAATTTTTTTTAATATATATTCCATTTATTTTGAAATTTCGAAGGATTTATAAGGAATTTAGAATTTTTAAATTGAAATTCAAAACATTTTAATTAGGAAAAGTGAACAATCAAATTTTTTACTTTATTGCCTCACTAAGCCTGCAGATTCACAGCATATCATTAAGTATGATTTACAAATATATCTATAATATTGTACAGTTGTGAGTGTGAAAACTTGTTTTCGTACCCATTTCCATTCAATTTCACTGATGGATTTTTATTTACAGGGAAGTAGTCGCCCAGACTTATTTATTTAAATAAACAGTTTAAAACGCGATATGTATTTTCATGTCGTGGTTTCGGCTGCTACAAAGCATTTGAAACGTCAGGCCGTAATAAAACGAAATTGTAAATAAGTTAAGGAATATATTTCGCGTTTTAAAATGTTAAAGTGTTTCATTTAAGCGTGTACTACTCGCAAAAACTACAGGCAATACACAGAAATGTGTTAGCCCCATGCCCCACGTGGACAACGGGATTTCACTTTTATATTATTATAGTTTCTCCTATATCCCCATTAGTCTGTGAGAAGTGGTAGAAATACCAATATTTATATGGAGTTGTCACTCCCTCACTAATGCACGAGTTTCTTTTGTTTTCGTGACAGAGAACGTATTATTTATTCACCCCATCGAACAAATAATGTGGCCATTTCTTATTTTTATACTGTGTTTATAGAAAGATAAATGAATATGGGTCTATTCAGCGAGCATCGATATAAATGATTACAGTATTTATTATAGGAAACGGCTATAGGATTATATTATCATCGTATTTTGTGTTTCTTTATTCAAATTATATGCAGTTTAATACACATATGTCGTTACTTTAACGTTTAATCTTTAACAACCTTTACCTATTTAAATAAAACACTTAACAGTTTAAAACGCGATATATTTTAATTAAACTTGCTTAAAAAATATTTTATACTACGACCCGACGATTTGGATGCTATGCAGAAGCCGTGGTCACGGCTATTGCAAAGCATAAAGCTTAAAAATATTTTTCAAACAAGTTTAATTAAAATATAACGCGTTTCAAACCGTTAAAGTGTTTATAGTAAATCTTTACCTATTAGGTGATTTCAACAAGGTAAATATGTAGAAAAATTGTATATTTATGGTATCCATTTATACGTCCAGATTGATATTATAATAGTCTATTAAAAACGCGAGGACACTCTTGTAGTGAAATATAAGTGAAAACATTTCTTAGTAATCGAGAACTTGAAGCCGAGTACTGACCAAATACTTGCGGCGTAATATGCTGCACATCGAGCATTCCTGAATTCAGTACGTTGATTTTTATCTTTGTTTGTCTTCGTTTTTGCCGCCTAAATACGTACTAAGTGCTCTAATGCTCGCTGCGTGGATTCCGCCAGTATTTTGGTCAGTACCCATCAATATGACGACGATAGCCTTTACAAGAAATGTAAAATACAAGTATCGTCAGACCAGGCGATATCTCAGTCTGTCAGATTTCCTGCTGGGGTGAGGTAATTACTATTGACATGTTCACTCAAACTCCGAAGATCATACACCGAATGGCTCGAACGTCTTATTAGACGGAGCTAATTATACAAAAGACGTTGGGGTGCTGTGAGGGGTTAGATACGAAGGTCTGCTGGTGACGGACGTTTATCTGCAACGTGGCTTCACTTTCAGGCTTTTGAAACGCTAATAGAGAAAGTGATTTATTAATGCAGACACAAGCATGCAACCTGCGGTGTTAGTAACGCACGTAATTTCATAAAACACTTGTAATGGTTCAAAACGCGACGTATTATATGTCGAGTTAAGACCGTACTCCGAGACCAACAAATTAAAAATTATATTAACTACACGGCAGGACTTAAACCGACATCCACAACGTTTAGTGCTATTGCTCTAATCGATTCGCTTGCTCTAACCATCGTCAATTTTTTTCAACTTATTGATACATTCAACTCTCGTGCAATTCAATGTCATTTTATAATCGATTTTTAATGTATATAGTGCCATCGTGTGCAATAATAAACATATGAGAAAGATTAAAATCAAACAAAAACTTATGAAAGTATTATTGTCATTTTTATCATTTCTTTTACTTATATAATAGTTTTACACTTGGCCGCTACTAAGCAATTTTTCGTTACTACTGTTATCTGAAGCAATATATTATGCCGAAAATCAGTCTCCGCTGGTCACAAGCTGAGTCTGATATTATTAGCACAAAGTTTTATTCATAATTTAAAATTTTCCATTCTTCTCATGGAAATGGATTTTTTATTTATATAAAAATGTATATGTAGTGTGTAAAGTTTTGACGTCTTTCCACATTACAGTCTTATTTAACGGTCGCAAACGTCAACTATACCTTTGTTACAGCAATCCTACATTTCTGATGCTTTACAACATGCATGACCGCCTCTGTCGCCATTGCGTTGAGCGCGAGAGGACCTGGGTTCGAATCCCAGGGAAACAAAAAAAATGTTTCGGTCGGGCGGGATACAGAAGTCTGATCAACTACTTGCCCTTTAAAAGAACGGATCAGTGAAACAGGCACATAAATGTGTACGCTCATGCTCCACGAGGGGGAAACGGGAACTAAGTGGCAAGTATTAGGTCGTGTTTTAAACTGTCAATAAGTTTTACTTCATGATTACTGTATCTGCAAAATCAGATATCTTATTGGTGCACAGCTGACCTTGAACTTTTTTTAAATTGGTTTATTTGTACTCTAAAAACTACTCTTCGAAATAAAGTTTAAGTGATACGTACAACAGCTAACTTATTTATGGTCTTAAACGAGCCGACTAATCTCTATTTAATGACTTTATGGCGTACACTTCTAGGTCGAATCAAGCCCTTGCAATGCCATAAGTTCCGATTAATGAACAAGAACAATTGATGTGGTAATGCGTACGTATGACGTCACAACGTGAGGTCATCGACAAGAGACGAGATCAGATAAATTGCTCCTGGCATGTTAGGATTGTGGACAGGTGAGCTCAGACCCTCCCCAAAATTGCAATGGAATGTGCACCGTTATAAAGGCAATGTTACAGGGGCAGATTTAAATTAATATCGTATTATTTTATTACAATGTTTACTTATCTGTAGACAAGTAATAACCGCTGAAGTCCTGGATTCGAATCCTCGGGAAACAATAGATTGTTTGGGTCGGGAAGCACACAGAAGTGAAAGATATCATCAAATATTCATTATAGAATCAGTAAATAATCATAAAACTTGAAGAATCAA